CATGTTCAATCGCGGCCGGGCTGCGGGAACGCGGGCCGTGCTGGGCCTTGTGCGCGGCCGCGTCCGCCAGGTGAGAACGCGCCGGGGGGCGGGGGCGCCGGACCCGGGTCCGAGGGATAGGAACTTTGACCTAACCTTGGGATGGGGCCTGTCCGCTGGACAAACCGATCTCTGGTGGTGGGGAACGGGCAGCACCGCACGGGCGGGGCCGTGGGCGCCGTGAAGGGCCGACCGTGCCCGCCTCACCTGCCCCTCTCTACAGGCGGGCCAGGGTTCGCTGTACTCCCTGGAGGCGACCCTGGAGGAACCACCCTGCAACGACCCCACGGTGTGCCGGCTCCCCGCGTCCAAGAAAACCCTGGTGAGTGATGAGGCTCTTGGGATTCCCCGCCCCCAGGCTCAGTAAGGTAGCAGTTAGATTATGACGAGTTAGGTCAAGACGCAGGAATCTGATGCAGCTGATGCCCCACCTCGAGCCACTTCCCAGGCCCCCGAGGGCCAGAAACCAGGATGCTCTGAAGGGGAGGATGTCCCGGTGCAGGCCGTGCCTCACTGTCCACTGTGATGGGGTGATTGCCTTAGGGGTGGCCCTCATCTGAAGAGCCTCCAGCTCCATCTTGCCCAGATCTTGCTCCCCAGATCCAGATCCAGGCCCCCAGAGCAGCTTCTTCCTCTCCCTCCAGCTCTGCAGCTTCGAAGTTCTGGATGAACTTGGAAAACACGTGCTGCTGCGGAAGGACTGTGGCCCGGTGGACACCAAGGTTCCAGGTGCTGGGAGAGCCCAAGGCTGCTGGGGAGCCCAAGTCAGCCTTCACTCAGGGCTCAGCCATGGTTTCTTTTCTGTCCCAACCCCATCCAGACAGCAGAAATGAGACTTTCAGCTCAGTCCTTTCCCTGTTGAATGAGGATTCCCTGCCCCAGGTGAGGAGCCCGTAGCTTGGGGAGCCAGCCACTGCCTCATCGCCCTTCTCCTCCCTTCCCTCTGGAGTGGGTTTCGCTGGTTAGCCTAAAGACTGGTCTACCTATCCAGGACTTGCCTGTGAAGATGGCTTCAATCTTCAAGAACTTTGTCATTACGTATAACCGGACATATGAGTCAAAGGAAGGTGAGGACCCAGCCTTGGCTGTACCTGTTTCTATCAGAACAGGACTTTCCCCCCAACTTGGCACCTTGGTGTGGGGGAGGAGAAAGACAAGAGGCAGTGCAGGTGTTCAAGGACCCCGTAATTCCTGAGTTCTCCCTAAGCCTTGCTAGACTGGGCAGCTACCCTGAGTACCTGGTCCCTTCTCCCACCTTATCTTCCCGCTCAGAAGCCATGGGTTTTGGCCGGGTGCGGTGGCTCATGTCTGTAATTGCAGTACTTTGGGAGGCCGAGGCGGGCAAATCACCTGAGGTCTGGAGTTCAAGACCAGCCTGGCCAACATGGTGAAACCCCATCTCTACCAAAAAAAAAGTACAAAAATTAGCTGGGCGTGGTGTCGCATGCCTGTATACCAGCTACTAGGGAGGCTGAGGCAGGAAAATCGCTTGAACCCAGGAGGCGGAGGTTGCACTGAGCCAAGATTTCGTCATTACACTCCAGCACGGGTGACAAGTGAAAACTCGGGGTCAAAAAAAAAAAAAAAAAGCCATGCGTCTCCATCACTCTGGGCAGGGTGGGATGGGGCAGAGGCCAGATTTTTTGTGCTGGAGAGTCCTTGACAACATGGCCTTTCCCCACCACCTCTTGTGGGTAGTGTCCTTAAGACCCCATTTACTGCTTTTGCACCTGGGAAGTCATCACTTCAGTTTGGCCCCAAAAGTTGATCAGACCTCCCACTCCATCACTTGCATGTCTGGCCCCCACCCCTACCTACTCCGCGGGGAAACCCCTGCCAGCTAGCCCCAGTTGCCCCTCCTTTTATCTGCCTGGGGTCAAGCCCCTCCTCTTCTGCTCTTTGGTCCTCAGAAGCCCGGTGGCGCCTGTCCGTCTTTGTCAATAACATGGTGCGAGCACAGAAGATCCAGGCCTTGGACCGTGGCACAGCTCAGTATGGAGTCACCAAGTTCAGTGATCTCACAGGTAGGGATAGTGGCCAGAGTCCTCATGGAGCCAGGAAGAGATAGGACCTTGCTTGCAAGGCTTCTGGTCAGGTCTGACTTAGAACACTTTTCTCCCCATGCCCTGCCCACCTTTGCCTGCAGAGGAGGAGTTCCGCACTATCTACCTGAATCCCCTCCTGAGAGAAGAGCCTGGCAACAAGATGAAGCCAGCCAAGTCTGTGGGTGACCTCGCCCCACCTGAATGGGACTGGAGGAGTAAGGGGGCTGTCACAAAAGTCAAGGACCAGGTTGGACCCCTAGAAGTGAGGGTGGGACATGGGCACTGCACTGGGACTGGTGAAGGGATCCAGCTCTGACTCTACCCATCTCTTGTAGGGCATGTGTGGCTCCTGCTGGGCCTTCTCAGTCACAGGCAACGTGGAGGGCCAGTGGTTTCTGAACCAGGGGACCCTACTCTCCCTCTCTGAACAGGGTGAGCATCTCGCTCTACCCCTCTGTCCCCAGCCTAGCCCCTCAGGAGGGCTTCTTGGGACCAGCCTTCTGTCTCCTAGAGCTCTTGGACTGTGACAAGATGGACAAAGCCTGCATGGGCGGCTTGCCCTCCAACGCCTACTCGGCCATAAAGAATTTGGGTATGCATTAACGGGGTCAGGAGGGGCAACTGGAGCCACTTCTCCCTCTGCAAGAAGTTACTTTATGATGGGGGGAGATGTGAGCGTGAGAGTCACACAGAACTAAGTTGAAGTCTTAATGCTGACCCAGCCAGGTGTGGTGGCTCATGCATGTAATTCCAACACTTTGGGAGGCCAACGTGGGAAGATCACTTAAGACCAGAAGTTCAGGACCAGGTTGGGCAACATAGCATGACCCCATCTCTACAAAAAATTAAAGACATTAGCCAGGCATGGTGGCTTGCATCTATAGTCTCAGCTACTTGGGAGGCTGAGGCAGGAGGATCGCTTGAGCCCAGGAGGTTGAGGCTACAGTGAGGCATGTTTGTGCCACTGTACTCCAGCCTGGGTGAAAGACTGCTGGGACGAGCCCTTGGTGAGGAGTCAGAAGTTGGAGCTGAGTTCTATCTCTGCCACTTTTCTTGCTGGGTACTGGTCCCTCCTCCCCATCTCTCCCAGCCTCAGATGTGTCATTTCTAGAATGAAGACATTCCTCAGGGGGATGGCCTGTGGCCTGGGGTGGATGAGGAATGTGAAACCTCATGTAGGGGGCTTAGTCCACTTCTGGCTGTGAATGGCAAATGGGAGCCCGCCCTTCTGTACTCACCCGCACCGTTCCCCAGGAGGGCTGGAGACAGAGGATGACTACAGCTACCGGGGCCACATGCAGGCCTGCAACTTCTCAGCAGAGAAGGCCAAGGTCTACATCAATGACTCCGTGGAGCTGAGCCAGAATGAGCAGAGTGAGTGAGGGGCGGGGTGAGGTGAGGCAAGGTGGGGCCAGGGCCTGGGTACCCACTGATGCCACCCTTTCCCATCTCAGAGCTGGCGGCCTGGCTGGCCAAGAGAGGCCCAATCTCCGTGGCCATCAATGCCTTTGGCATGCAGGTGAGGCCCTAGCCCCACTGCCCCTGTCCCATCTCTTGTTGACCTCCCCGACCTCATCTTGGAGTTGATCCCCTACTCCTTCACCTCCAGTTTTACCGCCATGGGATCTCCCGCCCTCTCCGGCCCCTCTGCAGCCCTTGGCTCATCGACCATGCGGTGTTGCTTGTGGGCTATGGCAACCGTGAGTTCCGCTGCCTATCCTGCATCCAGCCAGGCCACAGGCAGGGGTGGGACCACAGCATCTCAGGTCCTCTAGAGGGGAAATAGGTGGAATGCCTAGGAACCCTGTCCTTACCCGCTGCCTGGGCCATGGCCACGCGGGCATCATCTGTCCTGTCTGTGGAAGGGAAGCTGAGCTGTGGGAGGGTAAATATTGATGACCTGCAAGAGGCGGGTGGGTGGGTGCTTCCTCCCTGCCCCAGGGCTTCTCCCTAAGGCTGGTAGGTGGGCCCCTTGCTTTCTGTTCTTTTCCTAGTCCTCGTCATACAGTAGGCCCAGTGCAAGTATTTGAAGGTGCAAAGTGATTAAGGCTCTGCCTGGAGAATTAAGGGCCCTGATCCTTGCGCTCTGCACTGTACCCCAGGCTCTGACATTCCCTTCTGGGCCATCAAGAACAGCTGGGGCACTGACTGGGGCGAGAAGGTGAGTCTTGCCGGCTTGGCCTCTGGCCCCCCAGCTGCCATCCTACCCTGGTGCCCTCACCAGCTCCCCCTCTCCCCCAGGGTTACTACTACTTGCATCGCGGGTCTGGGGCCTGTGGTGTGAACACCATGGCCAGCTCGGCGGTGGTGGACTGAGGAGGGGCCCCCAGCTCAGGACCTGGTGCTGATCAGAGTGGCCGCTGCCGCAGCCTGACGTGTCCAGGCCCCTCCCCGGGAGGTACAGCTGGCAGAGGGACAGGCACTGGGTACCTCAGGGTGAGCAGAGGGCACTGGGCTGGGGCACAGCCCCTGCTTCCCTGCACCCCACTCCCACCCTGAAGTTCTGCACCTGCACCTTTGTTGAATTGTGGTAGCTTAGGAGGATCTTGGGGTGAAGGGTGGTATCTTGGCAGTTGAAGCTGGGGCAAGAACTCTGGGCTCGGGTAATGAGCAGGAAGAAAATGTTCTGATCTTAAGCCCAGCTCTGTCCTACCTCCGCTTTCCTCTGTTTGATACTATAAATTTTCTGGTTCCCTTGGATTTAGGGATAGTGTCCCCCTCCACGTCCAGGAAACTTGTAACCAACTTTTTCTAACAGCAATAAAGATGTGTCCTGGTCCCCAGTGTGGTATGAATGCTCAGTCCCCAGGGGTGAGGAGGGAGGGCAGGACGTTTGGTGAGTCAAGGTGGGATGGCTGGTCCTGCCCAGGAGCCTGAGGGCCCAGCTTCTGCTTCAGGAACCAAAAGGAGATGGGGAGAGACCCACAGAGGGATCTTTATTCAGAAGCACTTGGCTGACTGTTCTCTCAGGTCCTTGCTCTGAGGGATGGATGGGATCAGCCACAGGGTGCACCCTCTCTCCATCTTGCATAGAGAACCTCAGTGGTTGGGGTCAGAGGTCGCTCTCCCCATAGAGGGCACTGGAGAAGGCCACGTAGTCCAGGGCTCCTGCTGGGGCCCCGGATCCCTTGTAGGGCACCATACGGCGGATGCAGTACTCGGCCTGCTCGGCGGGGAGCTCGCGTCGCAGCTCCTCGGGGGTGATGTAGTTCTGGGGAGAAGAGGCGTTGAGGACCCACAGGTCCTATGCCCTGCCCCAGCCCCCCAGCGCCTCCACCACCTGGGACTCACCTTGTCTCCTGCCAGGATCTTGAAGGAGGCCACAACTTGCTCAGCCGTGTCAGTCTCGGCTGTCTCTCGGGTCATGAAGTCTATGAAGGCCTGGAAGGTCACCACCCCAGCTGCGTTGGGGTCCACCATGGTCATGATGCGAGCAAACTCCACTTCCCCCTGCAGAGATAGGGGCCAGGCACTATGCCCATGAGCACTAAAGCCAGGAGGGGTCCGGATGTCCCCTCCTGGGTACTGTCCAGCCTTGGCTAGCAGAGCCCCAGTAACAAGGGTGTTCCCTTCCTCCAGAGACCTTAGTCCTGGCTGTAGGACGTTCTTTATGGTAGGCTGAAATCTGCATCCTACCTATAGCAGGAAGCAGATTTGCTCCCTGGTCCTGATTTTTTTTCTAGGGCCGTACCCGTTTCTGTAGTGCTGTTTCCCTACAGGTAAAAATGTTGCAAGCTCAGACTTTGGGTCCACACAGAACTGGATCCAAGTGAGTTTACCTCCCTGCGCCTTGCTAGCCCCTGTGTGGATGTGATGAAGATGCAGGGGATGGTGTATGTGAAGATGGGAGGCGCACAGTACGTGATCAGCACAGAGGAGGGGGTACTTTGGGACTCCTGGGAAGGGGCTGGGGGGCACTCACCAGGTCATAGCCCATGGAGATGAGACAAGCTCGGAAGTCATCGGGCTCCATCATCCCGTTCCTCTTCTGTAGGGGGTGTGTGGATATCAGGCTTGGTCTCCAGCCTCCACTAGCCCCCAAGTGTCTTACCCCACAGGGCCAGGCCCCTGCTGACCCGGTCAAAGTGGTTGAAGGATGCTCGGAACTCGTTGAGCTGCTCCTGGCTCAGCCCCTTGGCATCTCGGGTCAGTACCTGGTTCTCCACTTCATTGATGGTGCGGGCGATAGAGGTGAGCAGCTGCTCCCAGCCCACGCGGATGTGCTGGCAGTCGGGGACAGGTCACCGTCAGTGGGCAGCCAGTGCCTGGCCACTGGCTCTAGCTCCACATCCAGTCCACTGACCCTGGGCAAGTCCTCCCCCTCACTGGGCCTCCATCCCCATCTGGAGGCTCCACTGAGTAACCCCCCAGCAGTCCTTCCTATCTTTTGATAACCAGCTATGGCCAATCCTGGCCTGGGTTTGGACTGCTTTGTGACTCTGGAAGGGTCACTTTCCATCGCTGGGTCTTAAGGGACCTGGCCAGGCTGAACTGGGGACCCTGCTGGGACATGCATGCTCTGTCCAGCTGTGGTCTCCCTGGGCCTCCTCAGCCAGCGCTGCCTCCCTTCTCTCCTGAGAGTTTGTGATCCCACCTCCATGCTGTAGACGGTGTGCTTATTGTCGAACACCAGGCTCTCCTGCAGCAGCTGGTGGTCACCCTCTAGCCGGTCAATGTTAGTCTTGTAGTTGATAATGTTCTGCTCCTGCTGCCGTAGCCCAGCCATCTGCTCCTCCAGAGAGCCGGCTAGCCCTGCTGCCAGCCGCCCCACTTCCTGCAGGGGTTCCCAGGCAGCATGAGGGCTCCCAACTCCCTGTGGCCCAGCCCTAGCCGCACCTCCCCAGGTTGGACCCACTATCCCAGCCCTTACCTCCACCTTCGCCTGGATCCAGGGTCCAATGGCATTGGCCTGGGCTGCAAACTGTCGCCGGAGCCTCTCGTTTACCTGCTGCCGTGCCAGCTCCTCCTGCAGTGTCTGATCACGGCTAGGCACCAGCTTTCGGACCTGAGAGGAGGGCGGTTATGCCAGAGCCAGCTCTGGGGGCTGGGAAATGGCTTTAGGGGAAATGGGCTCCAGCCCCTCAAACCTCAGCCACTGTTGCTTTGAGCCAACTTGTCTGGGATATGCAAGAAAGCTCCTGGGCAAGTCACTAACCCTTGTGGGCTTCAGTTTTGTCATCTGCAAAATGGGGCTGATGGCATCATTTATAACTAATATGGGTGGATTTATAAAAGATGTCCACACACAAGGCTTAATTCTACTTCACATCAATCCTGACAGGAGAATGCTGCTGTTATGGCTCATCATATACAGATGAGCCCAAGGCAGACAAGGTGATTTATCCAGTCCCACGTGGAGTCTGGCAGACCCCAGATCTGAAGATGGACTTTATTCTCCATATCTTGGGCCACCTGAGGTTTCAGGGTGGTCAGAGTATGCAGGAGTGGGTGGGAGGAAGGCTGCAGGTGGCACTGACCATATCCCACTTGGTGTTGATGTCCTGCGGGCTCAGGGTGATGTAGGGATTGGTGGAGCAGGGCCGCAGCCCGTACGTCTGGCAGATCTTCTGGATCTCACCCTGGATGCCCATGATGGCACCTCGCTCTCGGTCAGCCTCGGGCAACGTTGCCTTGAACTGATCATGCGCTGTCAGCAGGCTCTGGGGGTGACAGGCAGGAAGCGTCAACTGGTGTCCCCCACTTACCATAGGCAACAGAAAGGCCAGCATTGTGCCCCTGGCCACCCAGCGGTCCTGAGAAGTCCTGACACAAGAACCCCGGCCTCCTGTCTTCCTGCCCAGCACTCAGGAACTGGGGTTTTCCTCCCATCCCTTTGCCCTAGGAGCCTAAAGTTGTGGCTGGCAGAATTTGGGGCCAGCTTCCCTGTCATCCCATCCATCCCCTGCAACCCTGGCACCCACCTGGGTCTCCTCCACAGAGTGTACCAGCCACACGTCCTGCAGGTCCTCCACGGCACCATCCAGCCAGTTGTTGAAGGGTGCGGCCCGCCGGGCGAACTCCAGTTGCAGCTGGTCGATGGTCTCCAGGAGCTTCTCCATCCGCTAGGGGTGAGGGGCGTAGTGGGTCAGCAGCATGCCCAGCAGACCTGGCCTCACCCACCTACCCACCCCCAGCTGCCTGGCCCCCAGCCCCACCTCTAGCGCATCCCGCCTCTTCTGGGTCAGGGTGCCCAGGTTGTCCCACTGATCGCAGATGGCCTGGCAGCGGCTGTTCACTGAGGCCGCCTCATGGTAGTCCAGCTCACTGGGAGCGAGAAGTAGGGTGAGTGTGGGGCCAGCCCCAGCCCAGATGTCCTAACTGCACTCCTGGGGCTGGAACCCGCGCCCCGGGTGGGGGTGAAGGTGTGCGGGAGCCAGGGCACGTGGTGGGTAAAGCTGGGTGCTTTCCAAGAGGGGGCGGTCCCCGCGTATCCATCTGTGTAGGTTGGCCCCTGCGCGTCCTTAGCTGCAGTCCATGGAGGTGCTTGGGTGGAGGGGCGGGTTCATGGGAGGGGGTGGCCAGCCCAAAGCTGATGGGGAGGGTTTGGGGCAGTAAGCCGGGTGAAAAGAGCGGGCAGGTTAGAGGGCAGGCCACGAGTGGGACAGGTCAAGCCCTAGTGGGAAGAGTGGTGGCAGCAGAGCGGGGTCCGGAGATGGGGGTGAGGTTCCAGGAGGGGGCGGAGCGAATGGGACCTGGGTACCACGGCGGCGCGGTTACAGAAGAACCCGGGAGAGCCTGGGGTCTTGAGGAGGGCAATGGGGATCAGGGCGGGGCTCGCCGCCGGGGGCGGGGCCGGGGGGGGTGGGGGGCGGGCCCCGCCTACTTGAGCTCCTGGGCCAGCGCGGCAATGTGCTCCACGCGGTCCTGGTGCGCCGCCAGGTCGCTCTCAAAGGCCTCGTGGCGCCGCAGCAACGCCCGCACCTCCTGTAGCGAAGCCGAATCGTAGTCGCGCTGGCTCAGCATCTCCTCCTTCCCTGCTCGAAGAGAGGCCGGCTCCGGTCACCCAGTGGTGGCAGGGGCAGGGGTGCGTGCGGGCCGGGCTCTGTGACCACGAAGCCTCATCTGCTAAGGTGGCGATCACACCGGCCTAGCCCCTCCTAGGGGTTTGCTCTGCAGCGTCGGTGTAATAACGTAGATGAAACTCCTCTTCCGTGGTGTGATCCGTAAACTACATCAGTGTCCCCTGAGCGAGCTATGACCAAGGGGCCTTTGGTACAGTTTTGGCATAATTTGACCTTAAAATAGCTCTCAACGATTCTGTAACCCCCATGAGCCCCTGAACCGGCCTCCTTTATTCATCACTAAAATCCTCGACAGAACACCGAATGGATGTTTCTATCCAGAGTAATATATTTGACTTGTGCAATATTTTAGCGTCAGGATACTTTGAGTATGACATAAGTGATGTTAGGGTGAGGAATGGACTCAACTTTGTACACCTGATACATATAAAATAAAATGCTAAATGATGAATTAATCAGAGCAGACCTACAAAAGACCAGAGCAGGGCTGGGGGGTGAGGGGGAAGGCTGAGTTTATAGATAAACACCTGGGTGTGCGGTGGCTCATGCCTGTAATCCCAGCACTTTGGGAGGCTGAGGTGGGTGGATCGCTTGAGCCCAGGAGTTTGAGATCAGCCTGGGCAACAAAGTGAGAACCCATCTATACAAAAAATACAAAAAGTTAGCCTGGCGTGGTGGCGCACACCTGTGGTCCCAGCTCCTTGGGAGGCTGAAGCAGGAGAATCACTTGCAGGAGGCAGAGATTGTAGTGAGCCGAGATTTTACTAGCCTGGGGAATACAGCAAGACTCTGTCTCAAAAAGCAAAACAAACTTTGGCCCACAGAGGGGCAGTGGCCCAAAGAGAGGCCCAGGTTGCACCACAGCAAGTCAGGGTGGGGTTAGAAATCCAGTCTCCAGCTTCCCACAGAGCACCTACCCTTGTCCCAAGCATTTTGCCAAGAACCTCCCCTCCTGCCCCTGCACACCATTCTCCACCCCAGGAGACAGTCCAGCCCTGTGAGGTAGGTGTACCTACCCCGGGTCCAGGCTTCGTGCAGGGAGGCCTTCTGCCGGAACTTCTCGGCCAGGTGCTGGAGTCGCTGCAGGCGTCGGATCTCTGAGAGCAGCCAGTCTTCATAGCCCTTTTCCACCTGCTCCAGCCCCCGCCAGGCATTGGCGATGTCCTGTGGAGCAGGCAGGGGTGCCCTCCATCATGGTTCGCCCATTGTACAGATGGGGATACAGACCCCAAGTTCACCCAGGGAATGTGTGTAGAGCTCACCGAGACCAGCTTGCCCTCGGAGGGCATGAAGGCAGGCCGGTGGCTGAGCCGCAACTTGGTCTGCAGTGTGTTGAAGTTGATCTCCAGCTGGCACTTTTCTTGAACGCGGGGCGGCTTGTGCAGACGCCGATAGTCCCGAAAGTCCTCTAGTTTGCGCTGCATGGCACTCATGCTGGGCTCGCCCACACGGTTCTCCAGCCATGGGACGGTGCGGCGGATCCACTCCAGCAGCTGACAAGGCCAGGCAGGGGCAAGGCAGAGAGCTCTGAGCTGACCTGCCCGGCTCACCCACCCCTCTCCACCCACACCCAGGCTGTGGCCAGAGGGTAGGTGGGGGTGACTTTGACAAATATGAAGGCAGAATGGGGTAGTCCCCATGAGTCAGAGAAGGAGTCAGATGGCTGATTTCTGAGTCCAGGGGCTAGTATAGGTTGGCACAGAGCAAAGGGCCATGTGACTACCTAAATACGAGTGAATGGATCAATGCAGGAGTAAACGGATGAATGATGAGTCAATCAATGACTGACCAGGAGCTTGGGTTGGCAGAAGGGCAAGTGCTGGGTGGAGATGGACAGGAGGAGGATTGGAGGAAGCCAGGGCTACTCTGAGCAGAGGGAGGCTCTGCAGGCCCACGCTTGGGGTTAACAGGGTTGGGAGAGTCAGTAGGGCCAGGATGGGCAGAGCACAGTGGGAGCCCAGCCTCACCTCACTGGCAAGCTTCTCATACTCCTCCATCAGCTTCTCGTTTTCCTGGTTCACTGCCAGCACCTTGCAGATCCTGTTGGCAGCTGTCTCTGCCTATGGGGGTAGTTGGTAGAGGGCTGGCATTAAAGCAAGCTGCCTCTGTAAAGCCCTTAAAAAACAGAGCCCCCAGCTGGGCGTAGTGGCCCATGCCTGTAATCCCAACACTTTGAGAGGCTGAGGTGGGTAAGTTACTTGAGTCCAGGAGTTTGAGACCAGCCTGGGCAACATAATGAAACACCATCTCTACAAAAAATACAAAAATTAGCCAGGTGTGGTAGCATGTGCCTGTAGTCCCAGCTACTAGGGAGGCTGAGGCAGGAGGCTGAGGTCAAGGCAGCAGCGAGCTGTGATCATGCCACTTCACTCCAGCCTGGGTGACAGAGTGAGACCCTGTCTCAAAAAACAAACAAAAAATGGAGCCCCTGCAAATAGGGAAAGGGTTGGGGGGAGCACGGCTCTGAGGTAGGCAGGGAGTTTCCAAACCAGGGTCCTCTGGTCTTGCTGAGGACTGAGTATGTGCAGCTGGGACAGTGGCACTCCCACCTGTGTGGTCTGGCGCCTCCAATGTTGGGCTGCAGCCAAGGTTGGGCCCTGGGGTCCACAAGCCCAGGCAGTAGCAGTTGGGCCACCTTACCTGCTCAGCCCCGGCAAAGGCATGGTAGAAGCAGGACACATAGGTCATGATGGCCTTCTCATCCGGCTTTGGGGTGTTCACAATGTCTAGGGCAGGACAGCACGGTGTCTACTGGCCAAAGCCAGGGGTCCCTCCCCAGGGAGAGAACTCCCTCTGGGTGGGAGGGCTGGAAGTATCTAGTCATGGCCACCAGCAGCCAGTCACCCAAGCCCAGTGTCTTCTCTTCCTTGAAGCCCTCTCTCCTTACCCCAGGGCTCAGCAACTTCCCCACCTCCCCACCTTGGGGTGAGCAAAGTGTGAGGGAGTGGGTGGGTGAGTGTGATTGACCAGCCACCATGGGCCTCGTGAGGGACTAGTCCATGCTGCCTCGTGCCTTGAACTATCCTATACTTCCCTCTGTCTGTCTGTCTTTCCCCCAAGTCCACAGCTCCTCAGGGCAAGAAAAAGTTCTCCAGCAGTGCCCACACAGCCCGGGCATCATGCAAAGTAGATGCTCAGAAAGTGTTTGCTGCTTCAGTTGACTGTTGCCTTGCCTAGGCATGGGGACCACAGGCAGGACATGCCCCAGGGGAGCTGCCAGTCTTGGGGGACCAGTGTTATCCCAGGTAACCCAGGTAACTGGGATGTGAGGCAGAAGGTAGGGCCATTACATAGGGGAGAGGCGGGAGAGGCTAGTCCTCTTCGGGGGATGGGGCAGGGGACAAGATAGAGGACTCCTGGAGAAGGGGGACTGTGACCAAGGAGTGGGGTGGGGGCAGTCGGAGCATCCTAGGAGGAGGAAAGGGCCATGCAAAGGTGTGGAGGGTGCACCAGGCCCAGTGGTGAGAATGTGGGGTCCTCCCCTGGGCTAGCTCACTCGCACCTTCTGCATCCAACATCTTGGGGATGTCCAGGTACTTCTCTGCCACCTCAAAGGCAGTGTTCAGGTTGCCGATGGGGTCATCCTAGATGGGTGTGAGGGAGGAGGGTGAAAGGTCAGCTGCAGGCAGAGGCTGTGGGTGGGGGTGGTGGGGGTCTCTACCTTTCGCAGTTTGGCGTAGTCGATGAGGTCGGGGCGGTGCCGGTGGATGAGGGCACAGAGGGCCAGGCCATCCTTCCAGCTGAACAGAGAGAAGAGGGGGGTCAGGCCTGGGTTCAAGCTGGGGCCCCATTCTCCCCTCGGCCCAGGAGCACCCCCCAGAAGGATAGCCTCATCTGTAAAATGGAGTAAAGCACAAACCCCTTAGCTTGGTGTTTGAGGCCCTTCATGACCATATCTGGACCATCTCCTGCTGGCTCATCATGATTCTGTCACATACCCATGTTTAGGCCCAACCAGTTTCTAGATGTTTTTGGCCTCCAGCTTCCCTCTGGCTGGAATGGCCTTCCAGGGAAGTCTCAAACACTCCCTCCTCCAGGAGTTACTGGAACCTTCCTGGATTCAATTCCATTCCACTCAGCAGTTACTGAGCCCTCTTTTCAGACACTGTTCCAGGAACTGTGCTGTGACCTTTTCCTCCCCTGTGGCTTGTGACAGGGACCAGCTCAGTGGCCTTCACTGACCAGGGAGGGCTCCTCTCTATGCCCAGTGCCCCACAGAGGCCCAGACACATTTGGTAACCAGCTGACAGACCTGGTGTGGAAATTCTGCACGTTGACGTTGCGGTACGGCGCTGTCTTCCTCTGGCACCACAGAAGCAAGCCTTCCTTGGCCGAGGTTTCTGGGTGGGGAGGAGGTGGGAGAATTCATTGCGAAGGGGTCCAGGTCAGCCCTCTCACCCTACCTTTTTTTTTTTTTTTTTTTTTTCCTGGAGACAGGGTCTTTCTATGTCATCCAGCTGGAGTGCAGTGACACGATCATGGCTCACCACAGCCTCAACCTCCCAGGCTCAAGCGATCCTCCTACCTCAGCCTCCCTAGTATCTGGGACTATAGGCACATGCCACCATGGCCAGCTTTTTTTTTTTTTTTTTTTTTTTTTTTGTATTTTTTGTAGAGATGGGGTTTCACCATGTTGTCCAGGCTGGTCTTGAACTCCTGGGCGATCCTTCAAGTGGTCTGCCCGCCTCGACCTCCCAAAGTGTGGGGATTACAGGCCCCAGCCACTGCACCTGGCCCCAACCTCCTTTCCCATTGCTCACCTTCCACAGAGATGTCCTGGATGGCGAAGCGAAGGATGATGGTCCAGATCATGCCCAGGGTCATCTTCAGGTTCCCGTCGACGATCTCTGCAGGGCAGGGGTCAGGGGACAGATTTGCCTGACATTCAAGGTCTGTGCTATCTGGCCTCCGCTCCCCTCTGATCAGTCCTCTAGCCCTTGTCTCTCATTTCAGGGCTGGTACCTCGTAGGTGGGCACCTTGCAGGTACTCAGTAAGCATCTCTTTTTCTTTTCTTTTCTTTATTATTATTTTCTGAGATGGAGTCTCCCTCTTTGCCTCAACTGGAGTGCAGTGGTGCGATCTCGGCTCACTGCAACCTCTGCCTCCTGGGTTCAAGCGATTCTCCTTCCTTGGCCTCCCTAGTAGCTGGGACTACAGGTGTGCACCACCAAACCTGCTTAATTTTTTGTATTTTTAGTAGAGATGGGGTTTTGCCATGTCGGCTTGACTGGTCTCGAACTCCTGACCTCAAATGATCCACCCACCTCAGCCTCCCAAAGTGCTGGGATTACAGGCGTGAACCACTGCACCCAGCTGCATCTATTTTTTGGGGGGTGACAGAGTCTTGCTCTGTCACCCAGGCTGGAGTGCAGTGGTGTGATCTCAGCTTACTGCAAGCTCTGCCTCCCTGGTTCAAGCAATTCTTCTGCCTCAGCCTGCTGAGTAGCTGGGACTACAGGTGCATGCCACCAGGCTCAGCTAATTTTTGTATTTTTAGTAGAGATGGGTTTCACTGTATTGGCCAGGCTGATCTCGAACTCCTGACCTTATGATCTGCTTGCATTGGCCTCCCAAAGTACGGGGGTTACAGGTGTAAGCCATCACCCCCGGCCCACATCTATTTTTTTGTTTAGTTGGTTGGTTTGGGGAAATTTTTGAGATGGAGTTTTCTCTGTGTGTGTGTGACAGAGTCTCTCTCGTCACCCAGGCTGGAGCGCAATGGCACAATCTTGGCTCACTGCAACCTCCGCCTCCCAGGTTCAAGGGATTCTCCTGCCTCAGCCTCCCGAATAGCTGGGATTACAGGTGTGCCCCACCATGCCCAGCAATTTTTTTTTTTTTTTTTTGAGACGGAGTCTTGCTCTGTCACCCAGGCTGGAGTGCAGTGGCGTGATCTCGGATCACTGCAAGCTCTGCCTCCCAGGTTCACGCCATTCTCCTGCCTCAGTCTCCCGAGTAGCTGGGATTACAGGCGCCTGCCACCATGGCCAGTTAATTTTTTGTATTTTTAGAGGAGACAGGGTTTCACCATGTTATCCCGGATGGTCTCAAACTCCTGACCTCGTGATCCGCCCGCCTTGGCCTCCCAAAGTGCTGGGATTACAGGCGTGAGCCACCGCGCCTGGCCCATGCCCAGCAAATTTTTGTGTTTTTAGTACAGACAGACTTTCACCATAGTGGCCAGGATGGTCTCGAACTCCTGACCTCAGGGTGACCCACTTGCCTTGGCCTCCCAAAGTGCTGAGATTACAGGCGTGAACCACTGTGCCTGGCCAAGATGGAGTTCTGCTACGTTGCCTAGGCTGATCTCCAACTTCTGGGCTCAAACAATCCTCCCGCCTCAGTCTCCCAAGTAACTGAGACTACAGGCACATGCTACCATGCCTTGCTTGTTATTTAGAAATTATTTCACTGAACTCTTACTAGGGTTCAGCGGCTGCGCTGGCACTTTGGCATTTTTTTTGTTTTTTGTTTTTTAGACGGAGTCTAGCTCTGTTGCCAGGCTGGAGTGCAGTGGCAGTATCTCGACTCACTGCAACCTCTGCCTACCGGGTTCAAGCGATTCTCCTGCCTTAGCCTCCTGAGTAGCTGGGATTACAGTCACGTGCTGCCACACCTAGCTAATTTTTGTATTTTGAGTAGAGACGGGGTTTCACCATGTAGGCCAGGATGGTCTCGATCTCCTGACCTTGTGAGCCCCACACCTTTGCCTCCCAAAGTGCTGGGATTACAGGTGTGAGCCACCACGCCTGGCCGGCTCTTTTTTTTTGTTTTTTTTTTCAGATGGAGTCTCTTGCTCTGTCATCCAGGCTAGGGTGCAGTGGCGTGATCTCGGCTCACTGCAACCTCCACCTCCCAGGTTCATTCGATTCTTGTGCCTCAGTCTCCCAAGTAGCTGGGATTACAGGTGTGAGCCACCACCAGTTGATTTTTGTATTTTTAGTAGGAAAGGGGTTTTGCCGTGTTGGCCAGGCTGGTTTCAAACTCTTAGCCTCAAGTGGTCCACCCACCTCAGCCTCCCAAAATGCCGAGATTACAGGCGGAAGCCACTGTGCCTGGTTGGTACATTGGCTCTTTACAGGCTCTCTTGCGAGGCAGGGATTATTCCCATTGATGAGATGAGGAAACTGAGGCCCACAGAGGTGATTTGCTGACGTCAAGAGAGGCCCCCACGCCCTGCCCAGGACCCTTCCTGCCACCTCCTCACCTTCAGCACCAATGGACACCAGCTTAACCCCCTTGCTGGCAATGAAGTCCAGGGCCTTGTTAACGTTGGCGATTTTGTGGAAGCGCATCTTGCCTTTATCTGGCCTGGGCAGCCTCTCTCCTGGGTATAAGAGGAGAGGCCAAGGGCCAAAGGTCATGAGAGGCAGCAGAAGCCATTGTCCACAAACTCTCCCCTCTCCACCAAGTCCCGTCCAACACTCCGCCACCCTATTCCCCCTGCTGTCCAGATGTTCCTGGGTCCTGGGGCTCAGGTGCACTGATTTGACATCCTCACCTGAAATGACCTCCAGGAGCAGCATGAGTTTGAGGCCATTGCGGAAATCGTCCTCGATGTTCTCAATCTGGGTGCCCGCTTTGCGCAGGTGTGAGTTGCACCAGGCAGTGAAGGTCTGGGGGCAGAGGACAGCACTCAGACCCTACGATCGGCTCTGGGGGATGTGGGGCACAGTCCTGTCTCCTCAGTCAGGGTAGGTCTCAGAGCCTTGTATTTCTTTCTTTTTTTTTGAGTCGGAGTCTCGCTCTGTCGCTCAGGCTGGAGTGCAGTGGCCGGATCTCAGCTCACTGCAAGCTCCGCCTCCTGGGTTTACGACATTCTCCTGCCTCAGCCTCCCGAGTAGCTGGGACTACAGGCGCCCGCCACCTCGCCCGGCTAGTTTTTTTGTATTTTTTTTTTTAGTAGAGACAGGGTTTCACCATGTTAGCCAGGATGGTCTCGATCTCCTGACCTCGTGATCAGTCCGTCTCGGCCTCCCAAAGTGCTGGGATTACAGGCTTGAGCCACCGCACCCGGCCAGAGCCTTGTATTTCTGGATTCAAATCTCAGCTCAGCTCAGCCACTGACTTGCTGTGCATCCTGGGCCAGTCCCTTTCCCTCTCTGAGCTTTAGTTTTCCTGAGAGAGGAGAAATGGGGTCTGGGACCCATGCAGGTCCCAGTTCAGACTTGGGGCACCCGGCCACCAGCACTCTAGCCTTGGGGGTCTTAAACACGGGAGGACCCTTAGAAAATATTAACCCATTCAAAGTGTGGGGCCCTGTGAGGTTTTGAACTACAGGAGCCAATGCAGGGTGATATTGCCTTTCTGAAATCTGAAAACTCCTGGACTGAAGCACATCTGGCCCTCAGGGTTTTGCCTAAGGGACTGTCTCTGTGTTTCTATTTTTATCAGTTCTGACCTTCTAGGGTTGTTGTAAATTGGCCTCTGAGTAGACCCTAAGTGTGCAAGGACTCTGTGGGCTATTGGAGCATCAGCTGGCACTCAGGCCCAGCCTGATCTCATTTTGTTTTTTGAGAGAGAGACAGGGTCTTACTATGTTGCTCAGGTTTGTCTCAAGCTCCTGGGCTCAAGTGATCCTCCTGTCTTGGTTTTATTATGTTGTCCAGACTGGTCTCAAGCTCTTGGGCTCAAGTGATCCTCCTGCCTTGGCTTCCCAAAGTGTTGGGATTACAGGCATAAGCCACCACATCTGGTCTGATCTCATTTCTGGGGATGACTGCCCACCCCTTCCCCAAGAGTCAGCCTCAGCCTCAGCCTCCATCTGAGATGGGAGGGATGGTACAGGGCTGTGTGTCTGTTGGCGATAGGGGTGACATAACACTTGGTACACAAGTTTCTGCCAACCTATCGCCCTTCGGGTCCTGAATTCTGCCTTTCCATAGACTCCCTGGTAGAGTCAGGGTGGGCTCCAAGTCCAACTGAGCCACTCATGCTCTGTGATCCAAGGTCAGCCCCTTTCCCTCTTTGGGGCTTGGTCTCCCCATTTGTGTAATTAAAGGACCAGAATCTATGATATCTTAGGTCTTTCTTCTTCCAACCTGGCAGGATTCTTGGATTCAGAGCATCCCCATACCACAAAGACTCTTAATGAGAGTCTTTCCTGCCCTCGGAGCTCATAGCCCATCCGAGAGTCACGTTGGTCTGAGAAGCGCTGTAAGAGGTTGCCAAGGAGTTTATAGGAGGGAAGTTGGATCAGGGCGGGGGCCTCTTGGGGAAGACAAGTATTTGATCAGAGTTGTGATGGGCAGGAATTATTCAGGAAGGGAAGGGCAGGCAAGGGCATTTCCGGCAGGGGCCATCATGCGGGCAGGTGCTCGCTGGCTGTGAGAAACAGCTGCTACCTTTGTCAGACTACAAGGATCTGGGCCCTGCTGGAATGGAGCTGGGCTCGTTGGGGTATAAGTGGTGAGAGGCGGGCCGGAGGGGCAGCAGGGGCCAGGTCATGCGCGATCTTGGGTGCTAAGCTGGGGAGTTAAAATTTGATCCAGAGGGCAACAGGGAGTCAGGGAAGCCTCAGGCAGGAGGGAGGTGGGCAGAACTGTCCATGCTGGTTGCAGAGTGGAGATGAATGGCTTGGCACGGCAAAAGGGAGAAATGAGGAGGCAGCCACTGGGACCAGGGCAAGAGAGGAAGGGTGTCAGTGAGGGGGACAAGGCAGGATTGGATGGATGAGACAGAAATGTTGGAATGTAAGCTCCCATGGCAGGGGCTTTATTTTGTCTGCTGCCAAATCCCAGCACTTAAAACAGTGCTGGCACATAGTAAGACATCATGTGGGCCAAGGCAGTGTGCTGCTCCAAGACTGTATGAAGGAAGCCCTTGGATGGAGGAGTCACTAGGGAGGAAGGGAACACAGAGGAACAGGGAGGCGTCAGGGCTAAAGCTGAGCACGAGGATGTTTATTACCACCTTGCAATAAACAACACTGGACTAGAAAGAAATGAGCCAAATGTCCAACTACAAGAGATGCTGAATGATATTCAGAGCCTGTATGCTGTGTAGCCGTTGAATGAATGGATGAGATGGTGACTGCAAGTTGGAATGAACAGATGTTCCTGATAATTTGTTAGGTGACAAAGACAAGTTACAGACTGGCATGTGTCATATGAGGGGCATGCGGATCTGGATCTGGGAGAGGCCGGGGTGGGTGGGGGTAGGGATAGAAGATGTTGCAGAATAGGTGGCAGCTGGAGCCAAGGACAGGGATGACATCACTGGGAAACTGCCGAACCTGGGACTGCAGCTATGCTTGGAGACAGGTGCAGGGGGAGCCTAAGTGGAAGCCTGTCACCCAGGGCACCCCAGCCGACTCAGCGGAGCCTCTTGGCCCTTGGGGTCATCTCCTGTCATCTAACCCAGTGGAAGTGCTCTGATTCTAAATTCTAGGATTCTCAGATACTGCAAATTCCACTGAGTACCTGAGTACCCTGCCCTTTCCTGGAGTCATACAGTGTTGGCACACACTGAGCAGGGTCCAATGGCCTTATGGTGCCCTCCTGGTTACCGGCCTGCCACTCCCCAAAGTTTTCTCCCTCTGGCCCGGATCATTTTCTCTTTGGGAACCCAGGTGTCCTGCCCCCTCTACTTGGGAAAGTCTGGGAGTGAAAATAACTCAGGGAGGGAGCGGCCCTGAGTGCCTGATGGGCTGGGCCTGGGCAGCAGCTGCCCCTGTGCCCCTCTCCAGCGCCCCCGAGGTGCTGCCTCAGCACTACGTGTCCATCTGGCTGGAGAGTCAGGTTACTGCGTAAGGGGACCCAGGTTTTCCCTCCTCCTCGACCTATGGCCTTTTCAGCAGACTCAGGGCCCCATGCCTGGGGTATCTTGGGAAAGAATAGGGGTGGGGAAAGGGGTAAGGATCCTTAGGTTGCAGAGCTCCTGATGTCTGACAGTCTGTGATTTGGGGCCTGTCTGTGCTCCTTTTTGGGCTTCAGTTTCTTCAGTTGTTAAATGAGATACAACGACTATGGACCCCATCCTGGAGACGAGGTGGGGTGGGGTCTGAGAGGACCCTTCTCACCACCCCCACACTCCCAAGTCCACTAGTTGCCTGGCTGCAAGCCCTCAAGGTGGGGTCTGGGAATATTTAACTAGAGAGTGGTGGGAGAAAGATTCTTCTTCCTGAACCCCCTAACTTGGATCTCCTGGGCTTTGCCCAGCCTGTTTTCACCAGCAGAAGTGGGGCAGTGGGTCCAGGGGACTGAACCCTGGTGGGGTGGGGACCCCAGAAACACTCTTGTCCCCTCTTTTAAACCCCTCTTGAGGGCTCCCAGCCCTCTCCTCCAGGCCTGGGGACAGCAGGCAGCTGATGGGCAGAGCCTGGGCTGGGGATTAGCACTCTAGGTTAAAGACAAGCTCTGCCCCTGCCCTGCTGAGATGCCCAGGATAAACCGCCCGGCCTCTCAGGCCTCGGTTTTGCTGTCAGGAAATGGGCGAGCACTCACTTTCCGCTGCTGCTTCTCCCAGGCCGGGTCCAGCAGCAGGTCGCGGTCCCAGTCCTCCTCCTGTTCCATGTACTCGCCGCCCCCGCCGCTGCCCGCGAAGGGCCCCTCCCTGGCCCCCAGACCCTCGGGCTGCATAACCATCATCATCTCGCTCGGGCTCCTGGCTTCGCTCCGCTCGGCGCGCTCTCGGACACCCGGGCCCGGTTAAGTAGGGCCCAGCCCAGCCCCAGATCGAATTCGCACTAAATATGGGGGAGGAGGGAGGGGCCGGATGGGGGTGAAGGAGCTCGGGTTAGACCTGGCAAGGGGTTGTCCTGGAGCCGGAGACTGCGGAACTCGGGGAAGCCGGGGTGGATCTCGCGGCGGAGATCCTGGGTTTGCATTCCCGCTCCGCTACTGGGGCGCTGTGTGACCTTGGGAAATCCACGGGACCTCTCTGAGTCTGTTTCCTCCTCTCCACAATAGAAAGGCCGATAATAATAGTCACCGCGGGCCGCCCTAGAGGCTGCCCTCGAGCTCCTCGTGAGCCTCTTCCAGCACCTCGCTGGTGGGACACGGAGCCCTATCCCCATTTCACAGTCAGGAACACAGAGGCGCCGAGCTGTCTTGCATGTTTTCTGGGGTGATGAAGGGAGACACCCGGGCATGGGGAACGGCTCTGAGCCAGCTGGATGGGCTGCGGCAGGGCTATTAATATCGGGGCGGCTAGGGGGAGTAGGGGAGAATGTGCTGAGCCGGGAAACCCCGACACTACCCCGGCTGCAACTCAATCCCCAGGGCACTCCTGGCCCCGTCGCCAGAGGGCGGGGCTCCGGCGGGAGGGGAGGGGCCTCCAGGGTGGGCGGGTCAATCGTGCGCGAAGTCATCCGGGCTCCAGCGCCGCGGGATTCCAAGCGCCCCACGGCTGGTCCGTCAGTCCAATCAACTCGCCGCGTCGGCCGGCCGTTCCCTTAGGGTCTGAGCCCGCGCCTCACCCCTTCCGAGCTTCTATTGGCCGTGGCAGACGTCCGTCTGCCGCTATCTCCGCCCCAATACGGAAGCGGCCTAGTCCTCCAGCTCCGACAGCTGGGTGTCCAGGCCATGGGGCAGCCCTGGGCGGCTGGGAGCGCGGACGGGGCGCCCGCGCGGCTGCCTCTCGTGCTCACCGCGCTGTGGGCCGCGGCCGTGGGCCTGGAGCTGGCTTACGTGCTGGTGCTCGGTCCCGGGCCGCCCCCGCTGGGACCCCTGGCCCGGGCCTTGCAGCTGGCGTTGGCCGCCTTCCAGCTGCTCAACCTGCTGGGCAACGTAGGGCTCTTCCTGCGCTCGGATCCCAGCATCCGGGGCGTGATGCTGGCCGGCCGCGGTCTGGGCCAGGGCTGGGCGTGAGTGGGGTGCGGGATCCGGGGGGAGAAGTGGGCGCCTTGGACAGTGGGGAGGGGCCCCAAGACCTGAGATGGTAGAAGCGGGTTACATTAGGATTCAGGTTGTTAGAGCCAGAAATTTTTTTAGAACCTGGGATGGAAGAGCTATAATTGAGTGTTATTCACTCACAAATACTTATCGGGCACCTACTAGGTGCAAGGTATTGTTACAGGGACGAAGGGTACAATAGAACAGATTCCTGATACGGAGCTAATTTGTGGGGGGCAGATGAGAAACTAGAGGAACAGTAAGTAAGCAAATCATATAGAAGCTAGAAGGTGATAGTAGTTTGGAAACAAGAAGTAGAGCAGGGTAAAGGGGTTGCAAGTTTCAGTATTGAATAGGTGGTTAGGCCGGGCGCGTTGGCTCACGCCTGTAATCCCAACACTTTGGGAGGCCGAGGCCGGCGGATCACTTAAGGTCAGAAGTTTACCAGCCTAGCCAACGTGGTGAAACCCTGTCTCTACTAAAAATACAAAAAAATTAGCCGAGCGTGGTGACGCATGCCTGTAATCCCAGCTACTTGGGAGGCTGAGGTAAGAGAATTGTTTGAACCTGGGAGGCAGAGGTTGCAGTGAGCTGAGATCCAGCCACTGCACTCCAGCCTGAGCGACAGAGCAAGACTCCGTCTCAAATAAATAAATACATAAATACATAAATAAATAGGTGGTAAATTCTCATCACAAAAATATAAGTGTTTGAGGTAATGGCTATCCTAATTAGCTTGATTTATTCCAAGTTGTACTGATAAATGATGACATCACTTGGTATCCCATAAGTATATACAACTGAAATTTGTCAATTTATAATTAGAAAATAAAAATTACATCAAGTAAGGCTCTGCACACAAATTTTATGCCAGGCACAGGCTTTCGCCTGTAGTCCCAGCTACCCGAGAAGCTGAGGCTGTAGTGTGCTATGATCACACCTGTGAACAGCCACTGCACTCCAGCCTCGTTAATGTAGTAAGACTCTGTCTCTAAAATTTTTTTAAAATTAACTTTAAAAATAATATAAATAAATACATGGTCAAGATAGACCTCATAGAGAAGGAGGCATTTGAGCAAAAAACTCGGAGGGGGTGGCGGGGGTTAGCCATGTGAGAATCTGAGGGAAGGGTGTTCCAGGCAGAGGGAACTAGTGGTGCAAAGGCTCTGAATCAGTTGTGTGCCTAGCATGTATGTTCCCAGAACAGCAAGGCCAGTGTGGCTGTAGTGGAGTAAGAGAGGGGAAGAGATGTCACAGATGGAAGGATGTTGTAGGACACTGAAGGCTTTGCTTTTTACTAGAAATAAATTGGAGAACCACAGGAGGGTTTTAAGCAGAGGAGGGTCAGTTTGGTTGCTGGGGTGAGACTGTACGAGGAGGGGCAAAGATGGAATCAGAGACCAGTCGAGAGGCTATTGCAGTAATCCAGAGAGTTCCTGGTGACCTGGACAACGGGGTGACCGTGGAGGAAGGGAGAGATTTGCTGCTAGATGTCAGTGGCTTGAGAGAGGTCTCAGGACTGGGGACGTTAGGGCTGGAAGAGACCTCAGACTTGTAGTGCTAGAACTAGAAGGGCCGGGGACATCTTGTTTATCCTGCATTTACTTGTAAAGAAATTGAGGCTTAGCCAGGGTGAATGGCTGTTGCTGCTTCCTCAGGATGGGCTCTAGGGCTGCTCCGTGCACAGTATGGGGCACCTGAGCTGCTGGGGGAACTGACCCTGTGGTTCCTTCCTGCAGTTACTGCTACCAGTGCCAAAGCCAGGTGCCACCACGCAGCGGACACTGCTCTGCCTGCCGAGTCTGCATCCTGCGTCGGGACCACCACTGCCGACTGCTGGGCCGCTGCGTGGGCTTCGGCAACTACCGGCCGTTCCTGTGCCTGCTGCTTCATGCCGCCGGCGTCCTGCTCCACATCTCCGTGCTGCTGGGACCTGCACTATCGGCCCTGCTGCGAGCCCACACGCCCCTCCACATGGCTGCCCTCCTCCTGCTTCCCTGGCTCATGCTGCTCACAGGTGGGGAGCCTGGGAGGCCTCTGCACAGAGGCAGGGGCCCTGGTATTGGGCTGGGGAGTACAGCCCATTCTGGTGGGAGACGGGCTTTCTGGCCTGGGGGACCCAGCCCCAGTGTCAGTGATGGCCAGAAAGGGCAGCTTGGTATTCACCCGGGGGGGCAGTACGGAAACTGGTGCGTTGAGGCAAGTGCAGTGGTCTGGCCAGGGAATCGGGAGATTCCGGGAGTTGCTGAGAAAGGAGAGAGACTCATGGGAGTCCCTGCATGGTGGGATGTGGAAGCGCATTCTAGGGGCATTTCTAAATGAGAGAAGCAGTAGGAACAAAGGCTTGGAGGGTGGGCAGGGGATTGTGAGAATTAAGGCCAGATTGGTAGGGAGGCCTGGCGGGCGGGGTCCTGAGAACTGGTGTGAGGAGATGGCCCTTATTTGACTGCATAGTGGGAAGCCAGTGAAAGTGACAGGCAGGGGAAGGCCCAGTTATGGGAAGCTGGGGAGGGCAGACCTGGATCAGCAGGCTGCCTGAGATACCATGTTCTGGACGACACGTATGTCCTCTTCCCCCAACACATCTACAGGTAGAAGCCTCGCTGGTCCTTTTTACTCTTTGTTCTCTACCCCCAGAATGCTTTGGCCTTTCTCGCCCCCATTCCTCCCTCCTGACCTTTTCATGGTTCCCTCTATCACTTTGATCTACAGTGAGGAACCTCTCCGGCTACTCCGAGTAGTCACTGTGCCTCCTCATCCTATCCAAGCCCAGCTTTGTGCATGGACCCCACCTACAGCCCAGGGGAAGCCTCTGGCAGTGGCCCACTGGGGTTATCAGAGTCTTCATCTGCCCACACCAGCTTCCCAACAGGTCCTCCTCTGCCCTCCTCAATGATCTCTCCCTCCATGAGTCCCAGCCCTCCAGCCACACTGCCCTACCTCCTTGTGGTCAACACTCACTCCCCTCAGTCACGGAAGACTCTGGCTCCAGTCACAGACTCTCTCTCAGCCTTGGGCCCTGTGGAAATCAAGGGTGTCTGGAAGTTTGCATGAACAGCCCCCTCAATGCCTGGATGGCTTAGCTCTTGGCCTCCTCCTTCATTTTTCTTTCCTTCGCCTCCTCCCATGTCCACACCCCAGTCCTGGTAAGAATCCAAAAATGAGTCACTCCTGAAACCACCCATCTCCCTCTTTCTGCTCCTCATCTCCTCCCCATCTTTTACTCCTCCAGGCCCTGGCACCTGCTCCATGAGCCCGCAGGCTCGTGGCCCTCACTGCCCGTCTGTGCCTCTCCACCTTCGCCACCAACGTCCAGCTCAGAGCTCATCCTTCCCACCATTCTCCTGCCAGCATCGCAAACTTCCTCCCTCATCTTCCTTCCACAGTGCCTTCCTGGCTTCTCTGTGTCTGCCTCTGGCTGCTGAGAGCCAAAGGCACTGGCAGTCTGTGGCAGGTTGGTGCCATGCCATGTTCACAGCTGCTGACCTCAGCAGGACCTCGGCTATGCCTGGCCTTGCTGTTTGCTCGTAAGCTTGCTCCCTGCAGCCACAGCAGCTCAAACCTTCCCTGCCCTCCCACCCTCCCAACTCCGGCACTGAGAAAGTGAGACATCAGCTGGCGCATCCCAAATTGTGTTGTCCTCAAATCCCCGAGCCCGGCTGACTGTTCCCAGCTGCTTGTGTTTGGTGCCTACCTCCCTGCTTGGAGGCCTCAGGCTGTGGCGTCTGCCTCTCCTGCAGGCCAGGCCCCCTCTGCCCTCCCGGTTAGCCACCTTGGACAAACCCTCCCTTGCCCTCATATCCTCCTCCAGCGCTTGCCCTGCTCTAAGCTTCCTGAGGGACTTGCCCAGGCTCATGGCTGCTCATTCCCTGCCTGCTCCAGCCTGGCTTCTGCCACCACCACTCACCCAGGGATCCATCTCCACATACTCCAGGACCCACTTGAGTTCTTGCTTTATGAGACCCTTTAGAGTCATGACACTGCCAGCCCCCAGCCCCCGAGAAGTGTTCTCCGCCTGGCATCACTGATGGCTGGGATCTTGATGCGTTCGCCTTCCTTTCTGGTTGCCCTTTCTCATCTTTTATCTGATTCCTAAGAACCGATTTCCCCATGCTCCTGTCTAGGCGCCGTTCCACCCTCACTCTGCACACTTTGGTAGGTCTAGCTGCGCCCACAGTCTCAGGGCTGCCTTGCACCCCCTACTCGCAGAACTGCTTGTCCGGCCTGGGCTTCTCCCTGTGCTTGCAGACCTGCAGACCGTCCACCTGCTTGTGTCACAGGTGCCTCTGGCCTGCCTCAGGACCTTCAAACAGAATGGTTTTTGTTTTTATTTGAAATGGAGTTTCGCTCTTGTTGCCCAGGCTGGAGTGTAATGGCGTGATCTTGGCTCACCGCAACCTCTGCCTCCTGGGTTCAAGCGATTCTCCTGCCTCAGCCTCCTGAGTAGCTGGGATTACAGGCATGCGCCACCACGCCCAACTAATTTTTTGTGTTTTTAGTAGAGACGGAGTTTTTCCATGTTGGCCAGGCTGGTCTGGAACTCCTGACCTCAGGTGATCCACCTGCCTCAGCATCCCAAAGTGCTGGGATTACAGGTGTGAGCCACTGCACCCAGCCCGTTTTAACTACTTTAAAATGTACAATTCAGTGGCTTTTAGTACATTCATGATATAGTGTAACCATCACCACTGTCTAATTCCACAACATTTTCACCCTAAAAAGAAACCCCACACCCATTAGTGGTCCCTCCATGTTCCTTCCTAATCTCTTTAGCCCCTGGCGACCACTAATCTGTCTGTCTCTGTGGATTTGCCTATTCAGGATGTTTCACATAAGTGGGATGATAAACATGTGACCTTTGGTGCCTGGCTTCTCTCACTTAGCGTAACATTTCATGGCCTCTTGTAGTCTGTTATTCAGCAGGTACTTGTTGCTGACTGTGGGCCAAGATGGCACAGGATGCTGGCTTTTCTGTGGCGGCACAGATTAAGTAACTGAGAATGGCCTTTTTTTTTTTTCTTTTTGAGACAGAGTCTCTCTCTGTCGCCCAGGCTGGAGTGCAGTGGCGCAATCTTGGCTCACTGCAACCTCCACCTCCCGAGTTCAAGCAATTATCCTGCCTCAGCCTCCTGAGTAGCTGAGATTACAGGCGTGCACAATCACGCCTGGCTAATTTTTGTATTTTTAGTAGAGATGGGAGTTTCACCATGTTGGTCAGGCTGGTCTGGAACTCCTGACCTCATGATCCACCTGCCTGGGCCTCCCAAAGTGCTGGGATTACCAGCATGAGCCACCATAGCCAGCCTTTTTTTTTTTTTTTTGAGATAGGGTCTCGCTTTGTTGCCGAGGCTGGAGTGCAGTGGTGCGATCTCAGCTCACTGCAACCTCTGCCTCCCGGGTTCAAGCGATTCTCCTGCCTGAGCCCCTCAGCTTCCCAAGTAGCCGGGTTTACAGGCGCCTGCCACCATGTCTGGCTAATTTTTGTATTTTTTAGTAGAGACGGGGTTTCACCATGTTGTTCAGGCTGGTCTCGAATTCCTGACCTCAGGTGATCTACCTGCTTTGGCCTCCCAAAGTGCTGGGATTACAGGTGTGAGATGCCGAATCTAGCCAGGAATGGTCTCTTTAATGTCTGTGAGCTCCCCAAGGGCAGAGACACCTTCTAGTGCCTGGCATCGCCTCAGGGCTGAGAAGGTGCTCACGAGTCTGTGATGCACGAATGAAGCCGTATCCCAAGCAGGGGGCTGTGTCTGCCCAGTTTACCAGTGTGTCCTTGTCACCCAGCACGGGCTGGCCAGCAAGTATCGACACAGGGTTTGATGAGTGGAGGAATGAGCCCTGCTTTGTGGTGGAGGGGCATGGGTGGAAGGAGAGTTGGGCCCCACTGGCACTCCCTGATCCTCTCTGCTCTTTTATTGCAGGCAGAGTGTCTCTGGCACAGTTTGCCTTGGCCTTCGTGACGGACACGTGTGTGGCGGGTGCGCTGCTGTGTGGGGCTGGGCTGCTCTTCCATGGGATGCTGCTGCTGCGGGGCCAGACCACATGGGAGTGGGCTCGGGGCCAGCACTCCTATGACCTGGGTCCCTGCCACAACCTGCAGGCAGCCCTGGGGCCCCGCTGGGCCCTTGTCTGGCTCTGGCCCTTCCTGGCTTCCCCATTGCCTGGGGATGGGATCACCTTCCAGACCACAGCAGATGTGGGACACACAGCCTCCTGACTCCAGGAAGAGCCAGAACTGTACAGGGAGGAAGGGGTGAGAGGGGGACCCCACCCCTAGACTCAGGAAGGAAGTCGGGTTGGACCTTAACATCTGCATTGGACAACTCCACCCCTTCCTTGGCCTTGCACCTGCCCGCCTACACACCTGCATGTCTAGGGCCTGGGCCATGACTTAGGCAGAGGAGTGCAGAGGAGGGTCTGGCAGGGGGCTGCTCAGGCTGCCTAGCTGCCCCTTTGCCAGGTTAATAAAGCACTGACTTGCTTCTCAACCTCCCTCCCATCTCTGCACAGTTTCTGGCCCCTCACTTTGTTGCTGGGGCTGTTTCTGGGTCCCTCTGTAGGGCCTGGAAACCGCAGAATGCCTGAGGCTCTTAGGGACTGGGGCTCTACGTCCCCCGGCCTGGGTGAGTTGGGGGTGGGGTACCAGCAGGACAAGGCAGTATGCTACTGATCCAGGCTATGAGAATCCAAATGTTCTTTCCCATGTTTGGCATTTTATAGTTAAAACATTTCTGCAACAGCAGTTTCATGGAACCTCTCTTAGCTAACCTGGCCCATGGGGCAGCAGTTACGCTCTGAGAATCCATGTGGTAAGATCATGGTGCGGCAAATGGAGGCAGGATTCGAACCCAGGTCTTTGTGCTTTTGCCTTTACCCTTGCACAGCTGGAGGAAATAAGTAGGAAAGAAATCAAGGTAAAGAAATGCACTGGGGCTGTTTGGGCATCTGTGGAGGGTGGTGCTGAGAGGGCTAGGCCTGTACCTCTCTGGACTCTTCAAGAGCTGCTTGTTAAACGTTTCTGTGTAAATAGAGTCAACAGAGATCGCCATTTCCACATGGCAGGCTTAAACACATGAGTTCGTCTGTTTTCTCTTAGGATCTCTCTAAGATGATAGTAAAGAAAACCAAAATATATACAAATGAAAAGAAAACAGGAGGGAACACAGTAGAACAAAGAGCCTGACCACATTTTCTTTTTTCTCACTCTGTCGCCAGGGCTGGAGTTCAGTGGCGCAATCTCGGCTCACTGCAGCCTCTACCTCCTGGGTTCAAGTGATTCAGCCTCCCCAGTTGCTGGGATTACAAGCACCTGCCACCAGACCTGGCTAATTTTTTTTGTTTTTTTTGAGACGGAGTTTTGCTCTTGTTGCTCAGGCAGGAGGGCGATGACATGATCTCAGCTCACCGCAACTTCTGCCTCCTGGGTTCAAGTGATTCTTCTGCCTCAGCCTCTCGAGTAGCTGGGATTACAGGTGCCCGCCACCATGCCTGGCTAATTTTTGTATTTTTAGCAGAGACGGGGTTTCACCATGTTGGCCAGGCTGGTCTCAAACTCCTGACCTTGTGATCCACCTGCCTCGGCCTCCCAAAGTCCTGGAATTACAGGTGTGTGCCACTGCACCTGAGCATGCCCAGCTGATTTTTTTGTATTTTTAGTATAGACAGGGTTTCACCATGTTGGTCAGGATGAACTTGAATTCCTGGCACCCGCCTCTACCTCCATCCCCCAAAGTGCTAGGATTACAGGTGTGAGCTACCATGCCTGGCTGACTTTTTTTTTTTTTTTTTTTTTTTTTGAGACAGAGTCTTGCTCTGTCACCAGGCTGGAGTGCAGTGGCATGATCTCAGCTCACTGCAAGCTCCGCCTTCCGGGTTCACCACGCCCAGCTAATTTTATGTATTTCTAGTAGAGATGGGGTTTCACCGTGTTAGCCAGGATGGTCTTATCTCCTGACCTTGTGATCCACCCGTCTTGGCCTCCCAAAGTGCTGGGATTACAGGTGTGAGCCACCGTGCCCGGCCGCCTGGCTGACATTTTCAAAGATGGAAAGTGGATGGAGAATTAAGAGCTGAAATTATGTGTTCCCAAAAGGTGGGGCCAAGAGGCAAGTGGAATTACCTGTCAGAGCCTTGGAGAGGCTCAGGAACTCCACCAGGACCATGGAGGGTGAGGTGAGGTTTCAGCCAACAATGGGGACTGGTGGGAAGTCTATGTAAGGATCAGCAGGGTGCTGCTCCCCAGCGTCCCACCCACACCATGCAGCCAGCAGCTACCCCTCTGGGTGGGGTGGAGTGGGGTGACGTGAGGATTATTTGAAGGATAAATGGAACCAGAGAAGCTTTGGGTCTTAGGGGTACTGGGGAGGGGTGGGTGAGGGGCTGAACCAATAAATGGGGTTAAGTGAAAGTTCATAGATACTGCTGGGAGGGTCCACCCATGAAGGAACATGCTTGACCCCCAAGAACCTTCAGAGAAACCCACCGTCTGACAGGCTTTGCCCATGCCCACAAAGATGTGAGCTGCTTGGGCTGGTTGTTTTTCTAAAAGGCATGCTCTGTTGCTATTTTTTAGTGACAGTAGGAACTTGGTGTGCCTGGCACTTTGGCTGAACAGATGCATTAGCAGACTCACCTTGTCCCGTTTCATCCCTTACCCTCCACAATTTCTTATTTTCTTTCTCTTTTTTTTTTGAGACAGAGTTTCACTCTTGTTACCCAGGCTGGAGTGCAATGGTGCGATCTCGGCTCACCGCAACCTCCACCTCCCAGAACAAGCGATTCTCCTGCCACAGCCTCCGGTAGCTGGGATTATAGGCATGTGTCACCACGCCCGGCTAATTTTTTTGTGTTTTTAGTAGAGACGGGGTTTCTCCATGTTGGTCAGGCTGGTCTGGAACTCCCGACCTCAGGTGATCCACCTGCCTCGGCCTCCCAAAGTGTTAGGATTACAGGTGTAAGCCACCATGCCCGGCCCACAGTATCTTATTTTCATGTTTTTTGTTTTGTTTTGTTTTTCGAGATGGAGCCTCACTGTGTTGCCCAGGCTGGAGTGCAGTGGCGTGATCTTGGCTCACTGCAACCTCCGCCTCCTGGGTTCAAGCAATTCTCCTGCTCTAGCCTTCCGAGTAGCTGGGATTGCAGGCAGCCACCATCACGCCCTGCTAATTTTTGTATTTTTGTAGAGATGGGGTTTCACCATATTGGTCAGGCTGGTCTTGTACTCCTGACCTCAGGTGATCTGCCCACCTTGGCCTCCCAAAGTGCTGGAATCACAGGCATGAGCCACTGTGCCCGGACTCATGTTTGTTTGTTTGTTTTTTTAGTTAGTGAGTAGCTACTAGAACACATTTATAAAATTCAGAGGAAACAACAGCCCCCACTGCATTTGAGAAG